TCAGAGACTAGAAACACATGTTGTACTGAGTCAGTAAAACTTTATTTACACCCTGATGGTTCACGGTAAACTTTATTTACACTCTGATGGTTAACGATAAAACTTTATTTACACTCTGATGGTTAACGATAAAACTTTATTTACACTCTGATGGTTAACGATAAAACTTTATTTACACTCTGATGGTTAACGTTAAACTTTATTTACACTCTGATGGTTAACGTTAAACTTTATTTACACTCTGATGGTTAACAATAAAACTTTATTTACACTCTGATGTTAACGTTAAACTTTATTTACACTCTGATGGTTAATGGTAAACTTTATTTACACTCTGATGTTAACGTTAAATTTTATTTACACTGTGATGGTTAACGGTAAACTTTATTTACACTTTGATGGTTAACGGTAAACTGTGTCATTAGTCTGAGGTTCACATGAGCTGAAAGCTCTCTTTAGGATTATCAATCAAATCACCTGTTTATCATCATCATCACTTCTGGAAGCTTTTCTGCTTCACCCTCCAATGACCTCTGACCTCCTCAGGGTCACATGTGCTGTCTGACATTGTTGATGAAGAAGTTTAATTGTGTGTGTGTGTGTGTGTGTGTGTGTGTGTGTGTGTTCAGTCTGTCTCAGGAGCTCAGCAGTCCTGATCAGAGCTCTGAGCTGAAGCTTCAGAACAGAGCCATCGACTGGACGATCCCTCGTTTCCCTGGAGGAACACAACTGTCTGCTCTGTTCAAGGTGAACACACAGACACAGACACACACAGTATTTTAGCTGTGCATTGTGGTTCAACAGATGTTGACGTGATTTTTTTATGCAGAAATTAAAACATGTGCTTTATTTCTGTGAGTTTAGTTTGTTGACAAAAAACAACATTTTAAGATGACAACTTCTCATCTTCCTCTTCCACCTTCTCGAATTCCACCTCCTCCTCCTCCTCCTCTTCCTCCTATTCCTACCCCCCTCCCCCCCACAGCTGGAGGTCTCAGGTCTGAGCCCGTCCTCCATGTTGGAGGTGGGTCCGGTGGGTCTGGTCTTTGAGCTTCCTCAGCTCACCGTCACAGGTCTTCAGATCCGGTTCCTCCGCCTGTCTCCGGTCCAGCCGGGTCCATCTCAGCGGTGGGTTCGCTACGTCACCCACTCCGACTCCTACATCATCCGCCTCTGACCAGGAAGTTCTTTCACAATAAGAGACAACCTCATGAACTTTATTTTGTTAACTTCTGTTTTTATTCAGTTACACGCTGACTGTATTTATTTTTCTTTTTTTAAAACCTTTTGGGGACTATTTTCAGCGGCGGATTAATCCACATGTGCGAAGGAATGTTTATCGTTCATGTACTTATCTGCACACACACACACACACACACACGTGTAAATAAAAGTCATGTTTCCTCTTTATGTGACCTTCTGTTTGATGTTTTGTCTGAGTTGAGTTGTGTTTGAGTTTAAACGTCAGTTGAAAAGCAGAAGATTCTCGTCTCACTGATAGAAAAGAAAGAGAAGCTGCTCCACTTCTCCTTCACTCATTATTTCCTCTCTGTGGTTTATGGTTTGGGTTTAAACTTTTTGTTCAGTGACGACCGTCTGATGAACCTGAAGATTATTTCACATGTTTTGTTTTCTTCTTCTTCTGGTTTTCTGTCTGGAAACAGGAAGTACACAAAGTATCTGAGTACACGCAGTAAAGTCTGCATTTTATATTTTTTACTGAAGTAAAAGTACAAAAGTATCGGCATCAAAATGAACTTAAATGACTCAAAGTAAAAGTACTCATTATGCAGAATACTATATATTAAATGATTGATGCATTAATGTTGGCCTCTAGTGGAGCTCATTTAGTTACTTCATATACTGATGGTGAGGAATGTATTTTAAAGTCTATTTGTCAGTAAAAAGTACAATATGTACCTCTTAGTTGTGGTAGAGTAGAAGTATGTAAAAGAAATATGGGAATATTCAAGCAAAGTACAAGTACCTAGAAATTACTTAAGTGCAGTACCAGTACTAACAGGAAATAGTCGCGTACATAAACAACGTAAAAGGCTAACAGTTCCCCTCTGTTTACTGTCTTTATGCTAAGCTAAGCTAACAGGCTGCTGGTTGAACAGCTAAAATACTCGTTTTATCAAGTTTTCTGCATTTTTAAAATACTATTACGGAGTAAATCTCAACTGTAGATGTGTGTTCTTTAGAATACAGGTGTGTGTGTGTGTGTGTGTGTGTGTAGTGCAGCAGGTTAATAAACACAATATTAATATTTAATGGTAGTAGTAATAGCACTAGTAGTCATCTCTGTATCATCTATTTGTTAACATTCAGTGCCTCGTGTTGTCATGTTTGCTGGAGACGCTCTGCGCTGCGCAACGTGATCTGCAGCCGCTGCACACGCACGCACAGACACACGCACACACAGAGATCCTGCCTTTGCGGAAGAAGCCAGAGAGGAGCCGAGGCGGCGCTAAATTAAATTAGCATACTAACTAACTAACTAGCTGATGGAGGGTGAACGGAGCTGAACCCTGAAGAAGAAACACTCTCGTTCACCTATAAAGTCGAGACACCTCCGGGGGTCCGGGCTCGTTTAGGTCGGGATCTCTGCCGAGGAGATGGGGGACAAGGCGGGCACCAGGTAGGAGACGGCTAAGCTAGGCTAGGCTAGCAGCTAAGCTACAGCTGCTAGCCGCTGTAGCTTAGCTGCTAGCATCCGTTCTCACGCACCTTGATATCTTGTCAATGTCCCTCTCTTGAGATAAAACAATATAAATAACCGACTTAACACATTAAAGCCAGTACACTGCGTAGCGCGTGCAACTGCGCTGTTTATCTTTAAATATGACGCGATGCGTTAACAGCACAATACGGCCGTAGTGGGCGGTTATCGACCAATGACAATATAGAGTTAAACCTACGATTGTATTGTTTTTAAGTGCTGATAGGTGGATTTTGACAAAGCCGATTTTAGTGCAACATTTAAATGATTCATAATAAATGTATAGTTTAGTTTTATGTTGTTAAATACACGAGGGATGTTTACAATGCCTGTGTTTTTGATTGGAGAGCGCTCGTGGTTCTACCTGCGGTAGCCTGCTACTAACTCGTGCTTATTATCTATAAATGTATATTTAGGAGGCTCCTCGTTGACATGTAGCTCGTGACAGGCAGTGAGGTGTCACGCAGGTGTTGTTGAGTTGTCACAGTGAACAGGTGAGCAGAGGCTCTGACTGATGGAGGTGAAGTGTTCACACGATAACTTTCAGCTCCTTCTAAAAGCCTCAGGGTGTCACCTGTGTTTACAGGAGTCATGTATGACGTTAGAGCTGGTGTACAGTGAAAAGTACTATATGTACCTCTGAGGTGTAGTACAGTATAGAGTACTCTATGTACCTCTGAGGTGTAGTACAGTACAGAGTACTGTATGTACCTGTAGATCTGGTGTTTTATTGAGTACACTTCCTGTTTCCAGCTGAAGAAGGTTGATGTTTCAGGTGTTGTGTGTTCACTGATTCTTTAGAGACTTCCTCCTCTCATGTGTTGTGTTGAGCGTAGTCCACTAGTGTCGATAAAGCTTTCCTCTGCTCACACTTCACTCACTTCCTGTTAGGAAACGAGTACCACTGACAGATTATCCATGTTTATTCTCTTCCTCTGAGGGGAAAATAAACCTTTTTACTGTTGACTTGTTAACAAAAAATAACCTCGCAAAGATCTTAACAGAGAAAACCAATCATCAGCATAACGAGAGAATAAATACAACATGGAGGAACTGTAACAATACAACTATGAGCTGATAATTAATATATCTCTTTGATCATTTCCTATTTAAATCCACTGCTTCTCAGGACGTTACGTCTGTTTATTTCTTCTTCTTGTGTTTTAATGCACCATGAGAACAATCTACTTTGGGTATTGTTGTTTATGGTGGGTGTTGTCGTGGTTACCAGTACCAAAGTCACATCTGATGCTAAGCTAACGGACAAACAGTCTGACAGTTGAGACGTGGGCGTCTCTCTGATGCTGAACTTCTGTTTGTGTGAAGTCACTTCAGAACGTCGTTAACAGGAGAAGCTTCTTAACTTCCTGTTGCACAGTGTGTGTGCGTGTGTGTGTGTGCGTGTGTGTCTGTGTGTGTGTGTCTGTGTGTGTGTGTCACCAGTCAAATTGTTCTTGGTGGTTATCGTTAACAGGGTCAGAAGACATTTGCATAAAGTCGAGCTGCAGCAGCTCAGCTTTATGACCAGGAAGTCAAAATAAAAGCCCTGAATAGTCGAGATGTATCAAAATAAAAGCCCTGAATAGTCGAGATGTATCAAAATAAAAGCCCTGAATTGATTCTTTATTTATTTCCTGGTCTGTTAAAGTCCAGGTCGCTGTATTTAATCCGTTTGTTTTATTCCACCAACAGATCGTCACATGAAGCTGGAATCGCACAATATTTGGTATTTTTGTTTGAAAAACGATTCATTGTGAAAATAGTTGCAGATTAATTTTCCCGTCGACTGATTATTGAAGCTCAAGTAGAAACGTGTCTCGTTTGAACACGTACGTAGTTTGTAATGTGTCTGGAGACCACTTCATCTTTCATCTCCATGTTGGTGTGAAACAGTCTGTAGTCTTCAGAGCTTCACTTGATTCTGACTGATCGACTCAAACGTCACCAGGACGGACAGGAAGGAAGGGCGAACTACCAAAATAAGACCCAGCTTATGAGGAAGTGGAGTTGTCCACACTAACAGACTGCGTTGATGTGTTTTGGAGAACCTGATTTAAATAAATAACTAAGAGTCCAGATTCTTTCACAGCAGCATGTGATGTGGCTCACATGTTGAGATGAGATTTATTGGAGTTATTTTGTCACATATTTTACTCATAACTTTTGGGCATTTATGGGATGTTTTTTTTTTTTTACATATTTCTTGGAAATTTTCCACAATTTTATTTCAGATATTTTACATGTAATTTTTGCTCTTTTCAGATTTTTTTCAAACATATTTATCGGATATTTTTTTAATACTTTTATATATTTTTCACGTATTTTTATGACATCGTCTGACATTTAAAAAAAAAGGTTTTTCATCTATTTGTAACACTTTTTCCACTAATTATTTTCCTAATGTTGTTGTTGATTCTATGATTCTGTTACATCGGCCCACAGACCATCGCAGGTTAAACATCACCGTTTAAAACACGAGGCCTTTCAGAATAAAACCAAAACAAAGTGGATCATTAAAAACAGCAGAGGAGAAGTTACAGTTAAATCAAAGAATATATGAAATACTGCTGCTGGTGTATTCCACCATCTTTAAAGACTGTCCGTGTCATTATGGGACGATGAACGTCTCCACTGAAACCAAAACTAGTCCAACAGACAGAAAAACACGTTCAGTTCTTGTCAGGGCATGAAGCCTCCGCCCCCCCCCCCCACCTGCTGCAAGTGGATCAGCTGTTGTGGAAGCAGCCAGTCAAGCATTAAAGTGTGTTTACTGTTTTCCTGAAGAGTTTTATTCCCATGGCGGCCAACAAACATCTGATGCTCAGACGGTTAAAAACACAGCATTATTTTGAAAAACCGGAGGCTGAACTCATGTTTGTTTATCGGTCTGTGATTTGTAATGTTAGACTAAACATTACTCCGTTTTTACTCCGTATTTGCTACGTTCACACTGAGCGGCCACACTACGCCGGAGTTTTGGAGCACCCTAAACGGAGGAGTCTGAAAACTCCCCCGAGGCTGGAGGTGTTTGAGAACTCCGGGGTTTTGGTTGCGTGTGGACGGTCGGAAACGGATGTGTTAGAAAAAAATGAGCCCGTACTCGCTACTGGATTGGTTATTAGCTGCCATGACGTCTCCGTCCCTGATTCGTCACACTCACTATCACGTGACCCGTACCCGGAAGAAAACAAACAGCCAGGGCGACCAGTAATTCATTTCAACATGGATAACTAATTTCAAGCGTTACAGTAAAGTCTGCATTTCTGTGGAGGAAGCAGCTGTTATTGGAGCGATTAGCGAGCGCCGTGACCAGCGGCGTCATCAGCCCTATGGAGCGGCCAAGCCAGTTAGCCGTAAATGCTATTCAGAGCTACGAGTTACAACAGTTAGTGCCTCGTTGTTTTTAGATTCTAATGAGAAGACACGCTGCTTCGTTTTACTTCTTCCGTTTGGTAGCCTTGAGAGACCTTAGTCTGTAAGTATGTCTGTATGAAGCATGAAAAGATGTATGAAGATATATTATATTCGCTAATGCTAATCGCGGTTAGCATTTCCCCATTGGCGGTAATGTTAAAATTAGCTTAGAAGCTAGCTAGTCGGACATGTTACATGATGTTCAGAGCTAGAGTTGTGCCCTAAAAGATGGAGCAATTCCCCCATGCCCTAAAGAATTGATAGAGGGCGAA